AAACGCTTGGAAGGGAATATTTAACAAAAATATACTAAAACATATTGAACAAGATTACTAACATGCTTCCAAAGCAGATGAAGAAAGCCTACGTTCCAGTTAACATCACATTTGCTAAGTTAAAAGAATTTCTTCAGTGAAAAAAATAAGGCGTATATTGTCAAAAGCTTCAAATTGGTTGTTCTTGGCAAATTGTATACCACTTCATGGTAAAACGAACTCAACATGAAATGATTAAAAATTGGGGTAGTTATTGCATATATGGGAACCTGAATTAGTCGAGAACAGACCCCAGAAAGATTTCCATTACTGACAGTATAATGCTCATCCGACAACACAAGAAACATGTCATATCTCTGTACATCATCGTTATATACACTGACCGGAAACACACAACATCATCAGGAGTTCTGCATAGTTTAACATGATATGATGACATTACACCCTGACACTGACACAACATGTGTACTATGATCGGCAAACTGTACAGCAAATATGCTATTTATCCCTGGGTGCTATGGCAACTAATCTCTCTTGGCAATAGACATCTGGAGTCCAGATTTTTTTACAGGACATTCACATTGGAAATGTTTAGTAAAAAGGAGTGAGTGAGTGAGTGAGTGAGTTTAGTTTTACGTTGCACTCAGCAATATTCCAGCTATATGGCTGTGGTCTGTCTGGACCTGAAAATCCAGTGATCAACAGCATGAGCATCAAACTACGCAATTGGGATACGATGACATGTGTCAGCCAAGTCAGCAAGCCTGACAACCCGATCTCGTTAGTCGCCTCTTACAACAAGCATGGGTTACTGAAGATCAATTCTAACCCGGATCTTTGCGGGTTTGCAAATTTGAAACTTCATGTGTCAGGGAGTCGTACAAAACAACTAGGCCCAAAGTAAGTCTATGTTCAAGTATCACAGTTATGATCACCTTAGCACTAAGATCGCTTTCTTCAATGGCTGATTCTAATTAATTTTGGTGTGTTCTAGAAAACAACTAGCACTTTGACTATTGACACTCAAAATATCAGGGTACAAGATCTTATGTTAAGATTCTTATGATTTTGGGCGAGTTTAAGAAAGCGACCTTATCACTTTGACTATTTACTATACTTTAACATTGGCTTGCCACAGTTGTAGTGTTAAGGCTGTTCAAGATTCACCTTCCAAGACCTTCTGTGGAAGTGTCATTAGATCTTCACTCTGAGAGGAAATGTATCAGAGTAACAGATCACATTCACACAGGTTGGATCAATTCTAAATACAACCTTAACATTATTGCTGTCGTCTCTCAGAACAGGGTGCCGTTGTACAAAGCGTTCAGGCCTGAGGTGACTGTAACACCCATACCTTAACACAGATTTAAAGCAGTCTTAGCACTAAGGTGGTTTTGTACAACAGAACCCTGGCTTACAAAACTTTTAGTGATACTATATGCATGCGGGTTGAATGTAGTTTGTATCATGATATAACCTATGATCATGGTCTGCTAGTGTATCATGATACAATATCATGGTTGTACCTGTACACAACATGCTAACAGTACTGGGGATATACACACCTGTACTCTGCTACACTGCTTTGTACATCGGACAGTTTATACACCTTATCAGCCTAACACCCTGGAGAGCTGTTGGCATACACTGCTGCACTGCTTTGTACATCTGACAATCACTTCATCATTATTTGGCTAACACTGTGTTTTTAGATACTGCTACACTGCTATGTCCATATGATAATAACATGGTGACTATAATATCATCATACAAACACTAAACTACACTATGGTCCTGCTAACACTGCAAGGAGTTCGGTGTTGGTGTACTCTGCTACACTGCATGTACTTCTGACACTAACATGGTGGCTATTTTATCCATCAGGCTAACACTGTATGGAGATTAGTAGAATACTCTGCTGCACTGCTTGTACATCTGACACTGTCTGGCTTACAACTACTATCATCATGTCATCACTGCATGGACCTTTTGATACTGTCTACGCAGAAGCATCATCATTTGATATTCACAGTATTTGATATTCCTACTATTGGAAAGTATTGGCAACATCAGGTGTGTGTCAACATCAGTGCTCTCAGTGCTAATAAAGTGAACAGTAACATAAGTTACATTTCTAGAGCCCCTGTCCTATTAGTGCCCTTAAACCTAAACTACACTAGCAATCTTCGTAAGTGGCTGTGTAAGACTGTAGCATATGACAGTCCACATAGTCTTTGAGTAAATTACACTCTTCTTACAGAAAACAGCAGTGTTGAGGGGAATAACTGCAAAATAACATTTATTTAAAAGTTTCAGTTCCATACACCTTTCAAAAAAATGTTTAACAAATTTTTCACCCAGGTGCTTATTATGGCTGAAACAGTAATGATTTTAGCCAACTTCTAGTGATGAAAATACATCACTATTGATGTTAAGACTACTGTAGTAAGTACTACTGATGTTAACACAGTACCCATGATGTTAAAGCAGACACATACATCTTGATGACCTCAGTGCACATGTACCAATCTCACTGCAACCAGAATTATGCTTAACATGAAGATGTGAGTCACGCCCACAACACCGGCCACACCACATCCTCAAGGTAGCACTGTGACAACATACTTTGCTGCAATACGATACATACTTGAAAACGTGACGCAGAAAACATTTTCATCATTAAAGTAAAGACTAGCAGCCTAATTAAACATTTAGTGAATTTGAGTCAATAAAACAGACTTTATGTCGCCAGTCTATATGCTGTTCGAATGCTATGATACTTATAACGCAGCACAGATTGCCGCTAGCACTGAAATTTCGGTGAATCGTTACCCGATGCTTGTGTCATGATGTTCAAGTGATGTCATTAAAATCAGATATGTTGCACCGATATGACATCTGCCTTACAATCTCACAAACGCGTATAAGGAGGTGTGTCAGGCGAACTTTCTGATCTGACGGTGAACATTATGGTTTCTTGATTTTCGGTATAAGAGAACAAAGTATTCAGAACAGCAAATCTGCTATCTAGAACACAAACAAGATGAAGGCAGACAGTTCCTTCTGAATGTATATGACAAATAACTGACTGACTGAGTTTGGTTTTATGCCGCTTTTAGCAATATTCCAGCAATATCACGGCGGGGGACACCAGAAATGGGCTTCACTCATTGTACCCATGTGGGGATTCGAACCCGGGTCTTCGGCGTGACGAGCCAACGCTTTAACCACTAGGCTACCCCACCGCCCCATATGACAAATAAGATACACACCAGGCCAGCTGATATTCCGTTGCGGATATTTTACACACCCTGTCCTTGTGCCTCCGGATAGGCACCTACAGAGAGCTTGATGCCACTGACACCCACAGGGAGTACCATGCAAGGAATATTTAGGTTCTGAGTTGAAATTTCAGACACGAGTCGGTCAAGTAGTAAAGTCAATTCATCTCAGCTGACAACTGATTAGCTCAAGAACCCATTTTCCATTTCAACTGAAGGGTCACAGTTCAACAAGGATTGACTTGTGTACCCATGCGGAGAATCGAAACCAGGCTAGCTATTCTCGAAACGTTCGTAGCCCTACGAGCTTCTTAAGCCCATTCTTAACACATTGGCTACGATCAAAGTTAAGAATTCTTAGGGCTACGAACGTTTCGAGAATAAGGCCCAGGTGTCGGTGTGACGAGCAACTTTAACCACTTCAGCCATTAGGCTACCCCACTGCCCTTGTTCTCCAGGCAGATGATTCATCTACTAAACCAACGAGACTGTCTGATGCAGGGAGGTATCGTATCAAAGTGCACAATAAGATTTTAATGATATTTGTTGTTCCAGCATTTGGTGCCTACCATGTGTAGTAGAAGACAATCCATGTCAATGTATTTCAGACATGGTTAATATGTATACAGTGTGCTCAATCAACAATGCATATTTATATATGTACAAGATTATCACATTTGGCAACGTTTCACTTTCACACAATATCACTCCAACATTAATCCAATTTACATTTCATATACAAGATCATTTGTACAACACGCCTCTAAAGCATCTATATGTCCAGTATATTCACATCGGTACTCACATCATTCTCAATATTTATGCTCCACAATACAACAGTGAAACCTTGTTAGTCCAAACTCTGTTAATCAGGAAGCCTAAGTTTCCAGACAGTTACTGTAAGGCGTAGGTACACGTATACAGACACTGTTCAGTCACTGTGCTTCATTAAACTGGACATCTGATTATCTGGACAATTTTAGGAGCATTATTGTGTGGATTTACAAGGTTTCACTGGACAAACCTATGCAACATTTTACAAATACTTATAACTACCACAGGTCATCCTCGAAGAATTCTATGCTGAACTTCCTCTCTAACATCTGACTGAACAGTTACTGTGGCAACATGACAATACACAATAAAGCGAACCTTGTCTAGACTGACTACACATCCTGGATCTAGGTAGATGACCACTCCTACCAAACACAAGGAATACACACTGACACTAGTCCGTTAATCTCAGACTAGTAAAAATCTGGACAGACTAGCCTATGTTACATAACCACTAATCTGAAATCTACAGCAGACTAGTCAGATATTACCAATGGCATCTAACCCTGCACAGACTAGGACAACCTACGATACAGTCATGGCTGTTTCTATTCTTTGGTAATATCAAACATTTACCTGAGTTCCATATCATTCATGTACAATCAGTCAGTCATGGTGAGTGTGTGTGTGAGTGAGTGAGGGAATGGTGCTTTAGCAATCACTATCAATGTTCGAGCTCCTCCTGGCTGCCTTAATCTACTGAGCCAGATTTGGGTAATTTAGAGCATATGGGTCTTAATTCATAATTTTGGAAAATTAGTATTAATCATTATAAGTGTGCGAAATAGCCACTGGCCTGCTAGCCTGTGGCTAGTAAAAATCCACTCAGGCCAGTAAATCTCCACAGTTACTGGCCTGACTGGCTAGTGAATTTGCATGGGGTCATTTTGTAAATATATCACTCTCTCCGACTTGTTAAGTTATAATACATTTTTAAATCATGCAAGATTATGGCCTGGTAAAAATGTATATCATATTAGCACCTTCATGATGAAACTCGTGTCTACATTCAAATTTCGGGCTAGTGAATTATTTTGTGGCCTAGTAACTTTCAGGTATAGCTAGCCCGACTGGCTAGCAAAATTTGGAAACTATTTCGCACACTGATCATTATTAAACTGATATTTTTAACATAATTTTTAACACAACCTTTTTTAACATGTTAAATGATCACACATTTTGAAAAAAAATAATAATTATATGCACTGCATTTTATCATCCAAACAATTTGTTGCTATTATTTGTACAGGAGACAATGTCTGTAGCAGTCAATAAGCTGTGTAAAAAAACTGGAATTGTAACATAGTCAATTTAAAATACTGTCAGAATTTGGTTCCAACGATCATAAGAAATGGGCCTATATCTAAACAGTTAACGTATCTGCAATCATTAAACTAATACAAGCCAGATCCTCCCTCTAAATTCAGCAAGTGTGTCAGTAGGGTTAGAATCTCCTTTTAAGGGTACGTCACCATGGTACCATGGTATGTCAGCTTGACGTGGAAGGAAAGCCTAACCGAAGCAGGTCACAGATGTTTACTATTTAGTGACCCCCAGCACAAGTTTGGTGCGGACAAGTCAACCAACATAATATGGCACAACTAAGGGAAGCGACTCTACCAAGGGAAGCTACTCTGCCAAGTGAGTCTCAGAGCTGTCGTCAACAGGGACACAATTTGAAGTAATAACATAAACAACTTCTCCAAGTCTGGAAACACTCCTTTGAGCCCTTACAACTTAATGAAGAAATGATATGGTATTTAAGTACTAAAAAACAATTTAGGCATTCATTTGCAATGATGGGTGAAACTAACACAACAGAATCAAAGCTCTAAAAACAGACACAATGAGATGTCTTTTTGAAAAACTTGATACGTAACAACCGTCTATTCCAACTGCTTAGACTTGGAAACTAGGAATAATAAATAGCTGAATAAAAATATTCAAATATATTCATGATATGCAAAACAAGAACATAGCGAAGAGAATACATCATGATTCAACATGTCCGACAAAACACAGTTCGGTTATGAAAGTGGAATATTCTGGAGTATACAAAGACACTATAATGAAATCAAGGGGATGGTTACATCACAGATTTTCTTGCACCAAATCAGCTTTGTTAGTCGTAAGATGATGTGAGGATGTCTGTACTATGCCGTTCCTGACGTCTGCCCCGTCTGTAGGACAGAGTTGTACGTCCAGCTATCACCATTTCGATGGAAGAACTGGAACAATGTCAATGCACAACTCAGCATAAAAATGTCATATAAAAATGGTTTTGAGCAGGGTATGAAACTCCCAAACATTTCAGCCAGACCACAAGGCTGGTTAGATGTAAAACTTGCTAGCCCTGACCAAAACTTACCTGCCCACAATATATCTTCGCATATGCATGTCTAAATTTTAACCCGACTGTCAGGCAGGTGAATTTGAGAATCTGGCAGTCCGTGTTAAAAATGACCCGTCCCGGGTGGTCGGGCAGGGAGGTATTTCGAACGTTGTTTTGAGTATGAGTTTTAAAAAGTTTTAAACAATATTCCAGCTATCCAAAGGCTTCACAAGAGGGCTTCACAAATTACGAGGACATGTAAATAAACTAATCAACAAGACAGTCGCCATCCAATCCACTGTGAAGCTACTAGGTATGACAAGTATAAGTTGTTTGAGATGAACTAACACAGAAAACTCCATCTATATGACAGCAGCCTGATCATGATCAAATCTGGACCAGACAATCCAGTGATTGACATTATGAGCAACCATCCACAAAGATGGGAGTGAGTTAGTGAGTTTAGTTTTACACCGTACTCAGCAATATTCCAGCTATATGACGGCGGTCTGTAAATATTCGAGTCTGGACCAGACAATCCAGTGATCAACAGCATAAGCATCGATCCGCGCAATGGGGAACCGATGACGTGTCAACCAGTTGACATGGCTTCACACAAAATAAACATTTACCTTTGATGGGAACTGTGTGTTTGTGTCTTTTCGATGCCTCTCTCCTTCTCTCTGTCGATCTTCAAGCTGAAAAATTAGCACATCTTACGTATCCACACCATCAATCTACAAATACACATACTCAGGGCTCAACTACCCACATATTGTAGCCAAGGATGCACTAGCATTCGAGCATAGCGCCACACATTTTCCAGCCGTATTACAGAGTGGTGTTTTTCATTGTAAATATGAATTGTAACTGTAATGGGCCTGAATAAAGGAGTGGAACAACGTCATGAGTTTGTGGAACCTATACTATTACAAATGACTACACAGCTCTAAAACCCAGGCCCGAGATACCTACATGTGAGATCACACAATCCACTATTTAAACACACCATGACCATGCAGTACACACAGGCAGGTCTACACAACCCTCACATGGAGGCCACTGTGGCCATACAATCCACTATTTAAACACACCATGACCATGCAGTACACACAGGCAGGTCTACACAACCCTCACATGGAGGCCACTGTGGCCATACAATCCACTATTTAAACACACCATGACCACGCAGTACACACAGGCAGGTCTACACAACCCTCACATGGAGGCCACTGTGGCCATACAATCCACTATTTAAACACACCATGACCACGCAGTACACACAGGCAGGTCTACACAACCCTCCTCACATGGAGGCCACTGTGGCCATACAATCCACTATTTAAACACACCATGACCACGCAGTACACACAGACAGGTTTACACAACCCTCCTCACATGGAGGCCACTGTGGCCATACAATCCACTATTTAAAACACACCATGAGCACACTGTACACACAGACAGGTCTACACAACCCTCACATGGAGGCCACTGTGGCCATACAATCCACTATTTAAACACACCATGACCACACAGTACACACAGGCAGGTCTACACAACCCCTCACTTGGAGGCCACTGTGGCCATACAATCCACTATTTAAACACACCATGACCACGCAGTACACACAGGCAGGTCTACACAACCCTCACTTGGAGGCCACTGTGGCCATACAATCCACTATTTAAACACACCATGACCATGCAGTACACACAGGCAGGTCTACACAACCCTCACTTGGAGGCCACTGTGGCCATACAATCCACTATTTAAACACACCATGACCATGCAGTACACACAGGCAGGTCTACACAACCCTCACATGGAGGCCACTGTGGCCATACAATCCACTATTTAAACACACAGTGACCACGCTTGTACACACAAACAGGCCTACACAACCCTCACTTGGAGGCCACTGTGGCCATACAATCCACTATTTAAACACACCATGAGCATGCAGTACACACAGGCAGGTTTACACAACCCTCACTTGAGGCCACTGTGGCCATACAATCCACTATTTAAACACACACAGTGACCACGCAGTACACACAGGCAGGTCTACACAACCTTCACATGGAGGCCACTGTGGCCATACAATCCACTATTTAAAACACACAGTGACAACGCAGTACACACAGGCAGGTCTACACAACCCTCACTTGAGGCCACTGTGGCCATACAATCCACTATTTTAAACACACACAGTGACCACGCAGTACACACAGACAGGTCTACACAACCCTCACATGGAGGCCACTGTGGCCATACAATCCACTATTTAAACACACCATGACCACGCTTGTACACACAGACAGGTCTACACAACCCTCCTCACTTGGAGGCCACTGTGGCCATACAATCCACTATTTAAACACACCATGACCATGCAGTACACACAGGCAGGTCTACACAACCCCTCACTTGGAGGCCACTGTGGCCATACAATCCACTATTTAAACACACCATGACCATGCTGTACACACAGGCAGGTCTACACAACCCTCACATGGAGGCCACTGTGGCCATACAATCCACTATTTAAACACACCATGACCATGCTTGTACACACAGGCAGGTCTACACAACCCTCACTTGGAGGCCACTGTGGCCATACAATCCACTATATCAACACACCATGACCATGCTGTACACACAAGCAGGTCTACACAACCCTCATATGGAGGCCACTGTGGCCATACAATCCACTATTTAAACACACAGTGACCATGCAGTACACACAGGACAGGTCTACACAACCCTCACATGGAGGCCACTGTGGCCATACAATCCACTATTTAAACACACCATGACCACGCAGTACACACAGGCAGGTCTACACAACCCTCACTTGGAGGCCACTGTGGCCATACAATCCACTATTTAAACACACCATGACCATGCAGTACACACAGGCAGGTCTACACAACCCTCACATGGAGGCCACTGTGGCCATACAATCCACTATTTAAACACACCATGACCACACTGTACACACAGACAGGTCTACACAACCCTCAACTTGGAGGCCACTGTGGCCATACAATCCACTATTTAAACACACCATGACCACGCAGTACACACAGGCAGGTCTACACAACCCTCACATGGAGGCCACTGTGGCCATACAATCCACTATTTAAACACTCCATGACCACACAGTACACACAGGCAGGTCTACACAACCCTCACTTGGAGGCCACTGTGGCCATACAATCCACTATTTAAACACACCATGACCACGCAGTACACACAGGCAGGTCTACACAACCCTCACTTGGAGGCCACTGTGGCCATACAATCCACTATTTAAACACACCGTGACCATGCAGTACACACAGGAAGGTCTACACAACCCTCACTTGGAGGCCACTGTGGCCTCAAATTAAACATGATCATGTCTGTACTATACACATATGAAAGCCATTGTAGCCATACAATCCACTCCTGGAACATGCAAGACCACACAGAAAACATAGGCATGTCTATACTTCCTACATAGGGGCCATTGTGACTATTCAATCCACTCTTTAAAAATTAAGAATGGAGGACTAGTTAAGCCCAAACACCATCAGAGAATGAACCAATCTGACCCTGTGACCAATATTAACCATAATACTTACAAATCGTTTATGTTCTGTGGCTGTGCTGACGTCTCCTATCCTCAGAGCATTCGTCACATGCTGCCACAATCTTCGAGACTCAAATTCGCCCTGAGAGGATAACGGTCGCACCCTCTTTCTCCAGATCTTCAACTGTTGAACATCTACTGACTTTGACTCGCCCTGAAACAAGCAGAAGGATACAATCTGCCTGAAAACACCTGCCTCCACTGATTGATGGCATGACCTACAATGAGTTAGCTGGCAGCAATGTCACACTATCTGTTGTATCCCAAAATTTCTTAATTGTAGGGGTGAGATCAGAAGGAAAAGATTCCTCGTGCCAAGCTTTCTCCCACATCTATATGACAGAGTGGGTTCAAATCTTGTATATGACTCAACCCAAACAGAGCTAGAATCTGTACTTCACGAGGAAAGTGACATCCCAAATATAACATGTGACATCTGACCACTTCCTGTCCACATGTCAAACTTACATCCAGTGATATAACTGAAATACAATTCAAAGGTTGAGACTACATCGGCACAAAGTTTCAGTCCCGCAGAAATGCACATCGTAATTATCATTTAGAAACATCTGTAAACATCGCATCTGGGTCTATTCAGGATATCGGCATTGTTTTTCAGTCCCAACGAACAAGTTGTTATGAAAATGAATCTGTAAAAGCGGCACATGAAAGACGGGCGTAACCTTTGATGAGATTAGGTCCAAATGATGTAACAACACAATTCGCTGTGACTCGAGATTATTCAGAAGCGGGAAGTGTTAATCAGCATCTTGTTAATCAGTGAGTGGTGCACGTAACACTTACCTAGAGTAATTAATACATGTAGTGGGCAGTGTGACTGTAAAAACAAGCAAGTGTTTACATTTTGTTGATTCGCGGGTATTGACTCGAGATTACCGGGTATTCAGAAGCGGGAAGTGTCAATCAGTTTCTTGTTAATTAGTGAGTGGCGATGTGTCACTTACATAGAGGCTTAATCGTTTGATGGCGGGTATCGTTCGAAAGCTCTGAACATCAACAATATCACTGTACTCTTTGCCGAGTATTTTCACATTTGTAAGAAGCGCATTTTATTGGATAAAGATTGGTTTCTACGATCGCTTTTCACTACAGTCTGCTTATAAGGGTCGTGATTGGTCAAAATCAGACACGTGACCTAAGCAGCCAATCATATTATGGAAATGGATACCGTCAACGAAAACTTTTAGACGAAGGTTTTTGGGTAAAATAATTCTACATGTATTCTGAACATATTAAGCAAGACATCGCTACCTATACGTAAATTATGGAACTTACTGGACATATCGTGCTAGGTTATGGCCTAAGACAAAAATGCTTCATGTATATATTTTCGCATTAAGCATCGTGTCCGGCCAAGACGGAGGCTGGTGAAAGCCGAGATGTAACTTGTCAGTGACTTGACTTACATTACATGATCGCACAAAAAGATGGAAATAGTAATTTTATATGTACGTTTGACAACTTTTTATGAATGTTATTGTTGATTTCAATTTATTTAATGATTTCCTCGATGTTTGAAACATTCAGACATTTTTATTTGAATGAATCAACATGAACGTGCATTCAGACACTGCCTTGTTTCTTATTCAAACATCTTGTTAATGCTGAACTTCCGTGTGTGCAGGCGTCATAAGCGAACCTAGCTAAAACCGCACTCTGTCAAAACCGGCATTTTTATTTGGTCCCGACTGATGCCGGTATTGACAGAGTACACTGTATTTGGCATAAGTGATTAATAAGGAAAGCTGAAATACTTACATTTTGATGAGCGAAGTCCAAGTTGGAGTTCCACTCCCCCTGCACCTTCCAGGAGACGTTCCCGGTGTTGTTCCTCATCTCAGCCGACACACGATGCAGCTTGCCCCCATAGAACGGCTGGAAGTCACACACACTGAGCAGGGATTGTTCACAGACTCATTTACTTTAGCAAAACACTGTATGTCCACTAAAAGGCATCAGATGTTCTAGAACTCTTGACAGGTTACCATTACCAGTGTACCATTGTCTAAAAGTGTGACTGTACTTGAGAACCTGTGCTGCAAAACCCAACCAAGGACAGGAGTACCAGAGTTTCAAAACCAGACCTAGATTTCAGGACTGATTGACAAGTTAATCATGGTCCTATGCAACAGAACAACATGTTTTCACAATCTTCTAAGGAGTGCTTGTTATACCTTCGCACACACAGGTATCATATCAGAGTGAACGATAAATCTTTATGAAAATGTTAGCATCCTCACCTTTGTGTGGAAGACGACAGAAGAAGTGAGACCAGTCTTCTCACATGTGATGTTGATCTTGTCCCCGAGCTCCACCCAGGGGACGGTGAGGATGGAGCGGGCGTAGGCGCTGGGGAGGGTGAAGGTGTATTCCTCTCCATGACTCAGCAGTTTCAGGTGCACTGCAATATGCGGTGATATGGACTTCACACTAACATTAAAACACACATCATACTGACCCTTCTGTCTCGAAAACACACAGACAGATGGGTGAAAACATTTCAGTTTAAAGTGAGAGGATAGCGAGAAGTATTTAATGTAGTAGATGTTTATCACCTAGTTGAAACCACTCAGCATGATTATGACACACCATAATAAATCAAGGAAAGAATTTTGAATTCAAAATCTTGGCTTGTGTGGCTTGCAAAACTAAGGGAGGCAACTCTGCACAGCAAGATGGGCTTCTCAAACACATTAAACCACTGGGCCGCCAGTGCCAATCAAGTTTGGACCTTGAATACCCTGTCAATATATACCAGTCACTATACTGCTTGTGGTAGCTAAAGAAAGGGATAGGTAACATGGTCAAGAATCGTCCAGGGATCAAGTGGCTGGACACACTGAAGAGCCTACCTTTACCGACCATCACCACACCAATGGACATTCCCATGAACTTGGACTTGGTCCAGATGGAGGCGTTCATGCACATCTGTTTCTCAGGGCACTCGAAGTAGAAGGCAGATACTGAAAACACACAGTAGGAAGAGCACTCAGCAATGGCACTAAAAATTATATTCAACAAATTTCAAACTATCGCTATCAAATAATTACACCCAGTTTACCTGGGACCAGGAATGTAAGCATTACATATGTATACACATTTGAATAGTATATGTATAGAGTTCACTACTATTGTGGGGATATTCTTGTAGAACAATACCAATCACTTCTGCAGTTGCAATAAGGAACTTGTTTCAAAAGGGAAGTCAAACAGATTGGGCTTTGACCATATCATATCACTTAATTTTTCAGTTTTTGATTGGATGGTTTGATTTATATCAGCAATGGAAGACTACTGTTTTACAGCACATCAGGTGCACAACAACTAACAGTGAACACATCCTACAAAAAGACATCTTAAGCCAAGTTGATGTATTTCATAACATTATTTTTTACCAGGAGGATGATGGGAGACTTGTTCAGCACAGTAAACTAGTTGTGTTGAGGATGTTGTTGTCTTGGTGTCGCTAACATCCACGTCGGAACCACTGTCATTGTCACCATCTATCATAGAGTCTGGTATCCTCCAGGAACAGTGAAACGTCTCCCCAATAATCGGGTTGTACGGCTTCTTAGCCACTGAACCCTGCGACATAAACACATGGAAAACTCCTTGTCATTACTTGATACAGAATCCATTGATAAGACTGACAGGTTACCTTCTGGTCAGTGACTCAGCGAGATACAATTGTATGTCACATCGTCAATAGTTCAGTCACATTGAGGCTACACAAGGCAATGCAAATATCTTAAATCTGTCATTAAAGGACAGTTAGATTAGAACTGTTAGTGACATTACAGATTTTTATTTCACACTAATTTGAAGATGACACTGAGAAGAAACTAGGCCAATGGTTGGCCATCTTACACGGGACCATAGTACTTGTGCTTCCTGTATAGTACTCAAGCAGGATTTACACCATGCCTCTAGCTGCTCGAGTTAAGAATACAACGATTCTACACCTTCTAGAAGAAACTGTCTCTATATAACATGGAAGGGAAGGTAAAAAGCACCAGCACCTTTTCTGAAGGGGGGTATAGAAAACAAGTCATAAGGAATCTTCAACCATACTGCTAGAACACAGAGACTAAACTTATAGACTCTACATCACCTATATCTAAAACTACTACATCAGAGAAAAATACAGAGAGAACTGCACAAGAGTATCTTATGATACTAAACATATCAGCATATCTCCTATCCCTGGAGTCACTTGATATCACAAAAGTACAAATGTTTTGGGTTATATATCATCTTTGCAAGGAACAATGATTCAATGACAAAAGAACATAAAAAGAGCATCTGTTCAGCTGGGTGAATGACTGTCTCAAATTGAACATGATGAAAATATATTCTGAGACCCTCAGCAAAGTTATCATACTATGCCACCATGCTCAACTTCCTGTTACAAAAAAGTCATTCCTGCATATTCCACGGATGATCACAACACTTAATGGTCAGACATACAGTGTCAGTGTAGGGACTAAATAAGAAAGATCTATGCACATTTGAAAAAATGATCACATTATTAAACTTCAACCTTTTGAAATAGGAATGTCATTTTCTGTACTGGTAATGGGTTTTTGTTGCTTACACAGCACCTGGCTGTATTCCAGCAATGTGATGGTGAACTGTATATAAAAAATCTGGACACGGAAATTCAGTGATTGATATTACGAGCACAGATCTGTTTTCGGGACACACTGACATAACATCAAATTACCAAGCATTCCTGTGATATTTTAAACAAAACAGTGTTGTTTCTAAAACAAAGAACCAGGCACTTATAACTACAATGGATGCAGAATAACATCATACAACGGAAAAATCGCCAATCCAATCAGAAAATAATGTGGACAAGAAAAAGGATTATAAAAATCACCGCCATGTTCTCATTGTTCAGCTGAAATTGAAACAATGTTTTCGTAACTTTTGCAACACATTAGGAACAAGTGCAATTTTTAACACTCCTCAATAAAGGAGCAGGTCATTCATAGTACAGAGATTAAAGCCTTGCACCCCCCTACACAATCACCCCCACCTCAACCTACTAATAATGGCCGGGCCCTAGCCAGGCTACACTGACGATATATCAGTAAAGCCAGTACATATTCATTCAAAATGTCTTCACTGATACATAATGAGTTCTATTTCAGACAATGGCAGTATTGTGTCTGTCTGTGTTACAAAATGGCGCCATGTGAAGAAGTACTGCCTACCTGTCTGCCGGCATGGAAGGAAGTCAGGTACCACTCGAGAACTGCCAGCATCCGCTCCTCGGGGTCTTCAAAGTCAGGGATTCTGTAGAAAACAGGTCATTCTTTACAAAGAAGAAGAAGAAGAAGAAGAGGAGAAGAAGGAGAAGAAGAAGAAGAAGAAGGAAGAGGAGAAGAAGAAGGAGGAGAAGAAGAAGGAGAGGAGAGAAGAAGAAGAGGAAGAAGGAGAAGGAGGAAGAAGAGGAGAGGAGAAGGAGGAGAGGAGAAGGAGAGAGAGGAGGAGAAGGAGAAGGAGAAGGAGAAGGAGAAGAAGAGAGGAGAAGAAGAAGAAGAAGGAAGAGAAGGAGGAGAAGAGAAGGAGAAGGAGAAGGAGAAGAGAAGGAGAAGGAGAAGAGAAGGAGAAGAGAGAGAGGAGAAGGAGGAGAAGAAGAAGAAGAGAAGGAGAAGGAGAAGAAGAAGAAGAAGAAGGAGAAGAAGAAGAAGAAGGAGAAAGAAGGAAAGAAGAAGGAGAGAAGAAAGGAGAAGAAGAGAGGAGGAGAGAGAAGAAAGAAGGAAGGAGAAGAAGAAGAAGAAGGAGAAGAAGAAGGAGGAGAAGAGAAGAAAGAGAAGAAGAAGAAGGAGAAGAGGAGAAGAAGGAGAGAAGAAGAGAAGAAGGAGAGAAGAAGAAGAAGAAGAAGAAAGAAGAAGAAGGAGAAGGAAGAAGAAGAAGAAGAAGAAGAAGAAGGAGAAGAAGGAGGAGGAGAAGGAGAAGAAGAAGAAGAAGAAGAAGGAAGAAGAAGAAGAAGAAGAAGAAGAAGAAGAAGAAGAAGAAGAAGAAGAAGAAGAAGAAGAAGAAGAAGAAGGAGCACAGGTACAATATGCTAGATTACCTTGAGTGAGTGAGTTGGGTTTTACGCCACTTTTAGCAATATTCTAGCAATATCATGCCGGAATACACCAGAAATTCCCATGTGGGGAATCAAATCCGGGCCTTCAGTGTGACGAGCGAACGCTTTAACCACTAGGCTACCCCCACCGCCCCTAGATTACCTTAAATCAAAACCATGAGCAATCTGGGATTTGAGCAAGGTTTCTGGCTTACCTAAGGGTTCATCTCTGAACAAAGCCCTGTGGCATTTAATGTAACTAAATGTTTCTGTTTTCATCCATTCACAACACTTTCACTGGTAGCTATGGCTGGAAGAACACAGAGAATGGGTGTACACTTACTTGAGGAATATGTCTGGATGGGCCATACAGTCAGCAAACATTTCTAGTAATGACCTTTTTTCTAATATAAATGTTGGTAAAACAACCTGAAAAATAAGAAAAATAAAAATGACAAACCATGATAATAACACACCCAAGGGCTCAAGTATTGAGAGAGAATTTGAATTTGTCTGATAATTAGAATACCAAGTTTCCAACTATAAAATATTGGTAATTCCAGAGTTTAAAAACTCCCTTATCTTATCTCATCCATTTGAGACAAGATCATAATGCAGTCAGACCAGTGTTTGGTGTGTTGTGTCTAGTGTGGCGTGCAGGGATTCATATATCAGTTGCCTTTTTCTGCCTTTGTCTAAAAAATTCAAACCTATTTGTTAAAAAATTTGGCAAACAATCTTCCTATAAGAAATTTTCAAATTGGGATTTTTACTCTCATTTGCTGTAAACTAAATATAGCTAAACATAGGCTTGTGAGCAGGTCTAGATATATCCCTAGTGTCTGGTCTCAAGCCTCTGCAGTGACTGGTATCGAGCCTCTCTAGTGTCAAGCCTCCCTAGTGTCTGGTGTCAAGTGTCTAGTGTCAAGCTACTCTATTCGGTGTCAAGTGTCTCTAGTGTCAGGTGTCATGCCTCTCTAGTGTCTGGTGTCAAGTGTGTCTAGTGACTGGTGTCAAGCCTGTCTTGTGACCGGTGTCAAGGGTCTCTAGTGTCAAGCCTCTGGTGTCAAGCCTCTCTAGCGTCTCGTCTCAAGCCTTTGCAGTGACTGGTATCAAGCCTCCCTAGTGTCTGGTGTCAAGTGTCTAGTATCAAGCTTCTCTATTTGGTGTCATGCCTCTCTAGTGTCTGGCGTCAAGCCTCTCTAATGACTGGTGGAAAGCCTCTCTAGTATCTGGTGTCAGGCCTCCCTAGTGTCTGGTGTCAAGTATCTCTCGTGTCTGGTATCAAGCCTCCCTAGTGACTGGTCTCAAGCCTCTCTAGTGTCGGGTGTCAAGCCTCTAAGGTGTCTGGTGTCAAGCCTCTCTAGTGTCTGGCTTCAAGCCTCTCTAGTGTCTGGTGTCAAGCCTGTCTAGTATCTGGTCTCAATCCACTCTAGTGACTGGTCTCAAGCCTGTCTAGTGTCAAGCCTCTCTAGTGTCTGGTGTCAAGCCTCTCTAGTGTCTGGTGTCAATCCTTTCTAGTGACTGGTGCCAAGCCTGTCTATGGTCTGGTGTCAAGCCTGTCTAGTGTCAGGTGTCAAGCCTCTCTAGTGACTGGCGTCAAGTCTGTCTAGCATCTGGTGTCAAGCCTCTCTAGTGTCTGGTGTCAAGCCTCTCTAGTGTCTGGTGTCAAGCCTTTCCAGTGACTGGCGTCAAGCCTGTCTAGGGTCTGGTGTAAAACCTGTCTGGTGTCAAGCCTCTTTAGTGTCTGTTGTAAAGCCCCAGTAAAGTCTGGTGTCAAGCCCCTCTAGTGTCTGGTGTCAAGCCTGTCTAGTGTCAAGCCTCCCCTAGTCTTGTCTGGTGTCAAGTCTGTCTAGCTCAGGTGTCAAGTCTAGTGTCAAGCCTCCCTAGTGTCTGTGTCTCTAGTGTCAAGCTATTGGTGTCAAGTGTCTCTAGTGTCTGGTGTCATGCCTCTCTAGTGTCTGGTGTCAAGTGTCTAGTGACTGGTGTCAAGCCTGTCTTGTGACCCGTGTCTAGTGTGTCTGGTGTCAAGCCTCTAGCGCCTCGCCTCAAGCCTTTGTCTGGTGTCAAGCTAGTGTCTCTCTAGTGTCTGGTGTCAAGCCTCTCTAGTGTCTGGTGTCAAGCCTCTCTAGTGTCTGGTGTCAAGCCTCTCTAGTATCTCTAGTGTCTGGTGTCAAGTATCTCTCAGTGTCTGGTCAAGCCTCAAGTCTCCCTCTGTGTCTGGTGTCAAGCCTCTCTTGTGTCTGGTGTCAAGCCTCTCTAGTGTCTGGTGTCAAGCCTGTCTTGTGTCTGGTGTCAAGCCTCTCTAGTGTCTGGTGTCAAGTCCAGCATCTCTAGTGTCTGGTGTCAAGCCTGTAGTGTCTGGTGTCAAGCCTCTAGTTCTGGTGTCAAGTGTCTGGTGTCAAGCCAAGCCTCTAGTATCTGGTGTCAAGCCTGTCTTGTGTCTGGTGTCAAGCCTCTCTAGTGTCTGGTGTCAAGCCTCTCTAGTGTCTGGTGTCAAGCCTCTCTAGTGTCTTGTCTGTCTCTGGTGTCAAGCCTCTCTAGTGACTGGTGTCAAGTGTCTCTAGTGTCTGGTGTCAAGTGTCAAGTCTAGTGACTGGCATCAAGTCTGTCTAGCATCTGGTGTCAAGTGTCTCTAGTGACTGGTGTCAAGCCTCTCTAGTGTCTGGTGTCAAGCCTCTCTAGTGACTGGTGTCAAGCCTGTCTTGTGTCTTGTGTCCAGCCTCTCTAGTGACTGGCGTCAAGTCTGTCTAGCGTCTGGTGTCAAGCCTCTCTAGTGACTGATGTCGTGGATCCACTCACCTTTGTTAAGTCCATGCCCAGCTTCAACTGAGACAAGAGATGTAAAATGATGCTTTTATGTTCTTCTACTCCCCCCAGCTCGGAGTCCTTGTACTCCGCTTCATCTTCGACTTCATCGTCGTGATTCACTGGACCTGCACAGTCAGCATAGCTTGTATACAACAAAACTTAGAAAACAGACTTAGACAGACAGTTTCTAATGTATCTAATAACACTACAGAAGTTAAGCGAGGTGATTTTGGATTGTCACATTTCATGCAGAGTATCCTATCAGGGTGAAAAAGCTCATGTTAAGGACATCAGTATCATGAAAAAATTGCATCCTTAAAAAATAAAGGTAAAAAGTCCCAAAGACAAAAGCATATGCCAACATGCTTCATCTCTGTTCTCAGTGGAACAAAACAATTGTGCACATTTTAAAGCCTTACGAGCACCTTGCGGTAAAGTTAACCATGAACTACAGTAGCAGTAGTAGTAGTAGTAGTAGTAGTAGTAGTAGTAGTAGTAGTAGTAGTAGTAGTAGTAGGAGGATGATGAGGAGGATCAGCAGCAGCAGCAGCAGTTTTGTTTGCTTTTGTTGTTGTTTGTTTCCAGTGATCAACAGCATGAGCATTGATCAATGCAGGTAGTTGTCTCTTATGGCAAGCATGGGTTGCTGAAGACCAATTCTAACCCAAATCTTCAAGGGTCAGCAGTAGCAGTAGGAGTAGCAGTAGTAGTACCTTCCACTCTCTGGTCTGTGAAGGTGTAAGGGACAGAACTGGCGGAGGTGAAGCTCTCGGTGGGGGAGGGGACAGTCAGCTGAGTACTTGACCGACTCCCTTCTAGAGGCCTGGAGACAAGAAATGCAGGATAGCATACACAAGGAGATGTCAGCACTTTCAAACATGACAACTATCATAACATCATGTTCATAAGGAATGCTTATGTCTGAACAAACAGTTTACAATCAATATTAGTATAATGTTGATGATATCATGCAGCTGCTACCATGGTTATCACAGAAGCAGATATATTTGATAATTTCTTTTCTTATACAATTTTGGTCACAATATTATCTAATGTGCACCCTCTCTGCAGTAAGTTAAATAAACAAGCTGACAGTTGTAAGGTATGTGTGTCTGTATGTGTCTGTGTGTATGCATGTCTGTGTGTATATGTGTGTCTGTGTGTATATGTGTGTATATGTGTGTCTGCATTTGAGTCAGTCTGTGTTTATTTTTTTGTTCATTCAATGCCACAGATACCGTGAACTGCGTGTTTCAAAAACCCCAATACAAACAAAGTCATAACTATCCCAGTTAATAGTAAGCTGCCATGAATAACTTATCAAACTTGTTGCCATAGAAACTTGACATATTTGTGAAAACAAGAAGACATGGTCATCAATATCCCCCCACCACAGTGTTCTCTTCCTATTTTCTATTCCTGTTTTTTTTAGGGGTGGTGAGGTAGCCTAGTGGTTAAAGCATTCAGGTTCAATTCCCCACATAGGTACAATGTGTAAAGCCCATTTCTCGTGTCCCGCCGTTATATTGCTGGAATATTGCTAAAAGCGGTGTAAAACTAAACTCACTCACTCACTCCTGTTTTTTTTAACTCAACAACGACATTCATGTCCTGAAACACATAGTTTTGGTTTTCCTATCTATAACAGTTACTGAGAAAATCTGTTCCCATTTGGGGATAACGTGCACAAAGTCAAGAAATGCATGACAAGGGCCATAACTCTGTAAAGAATCGCAACACGGTTTCCGTTTTCGAACTCCATCAACGCGTTTGTCTCCTGAAAATACATGCCACACTTGGTTTCCCTATTTCACCACAAGATCTATCTCTGGACAAATTTTGGTGAAGATATCCTGTACAGTTTTTTTTAAGATCTGCTCCAGAAATGACATCCTGCATGAACAGACAGCCACAGGGATGACTGACTGACTGAGTTTGGTTTTACGCCGCTTTTAGCAATATTCCAGCAACATCACGGCGTGGGACACCAGAAATTGGCATCGCGCATTGTGCCCATGTGGGGATTCGAACCCGGGTCTTCTACGTGACGAGCCAACGCTTTAACCATTAGGCTACCCCATCGCCCCCACACAGGGATGAAGAAACTGTCCAGTTCATTTACAAGAAATAGTTTGCTGCAAAACTTGTTAGGGATAAGTAAATGCCTCCAAAACATATTTTGTGAATTTGTTTGAAAGAAGGTTGAGCATTAGTTACGTGCTTACCCTGGCTTTCTCTCTGGAGGCTGTGGGGTGGGTGGAACTGATAACTAGAAACAGATGTTGGAATACATCAACACAACATTTACACTAGGTATTACATACAGTCAAATCCCGATGAGTCGAATGCTGGTGTCTCGAATATTATGCATAACCTGTAGTACCTGTAGGTCCCGACCATTCCCTGTTATAGTTGTCATCATTTGAATACCGGTTACACGAATTCGTTTCATAAATACACACGATGACTCGAGAAGGAAATTTGGTCCCATGAGATTCAAACAACAGCAACCGTCTCCGTGGTGTAGTGGTTAGAGCGTCCGCCCGGAGAGCGGAAGGTCGCGGGTTTGATCCCCGACCGCGTCATACCAAAAGACATTAAAATATGGTACTTGTTGATCCCTGCCTGGCGCTCGGCATTAATGGGTATAACAAGGACTGGTCGGCTCGGAGTCAGTATAATGTGTCTGAGTGGGGTATTCATGCTTCACTGCGGCATGGTATCTCAGTGGGTTAGCACTATAAAAAAAACAGCTTCAGTCTGGGCTAGTACAAGCAGCCGCACATACACATACACATGCATGCACGTCGTCATATGAGCGAAATATTCTCAAGCACGACGTTAAACCCAATTTCACCTGACCTCACCTCAAACAACAGCAATCTTGTATTCATAAGCTGAAGTCAGTAAATGAGAAGTTGATTGGTGTAGCAAACTGATCCAATCAACAAACCAGCGCGTCTCACACCTTTCCGCCATTGATGGGTGAGTTCAAAAGGCAGATTAGTGATTTGACGGAAATCACTGTCTGTGCTAATCAGACTGGAACTGATAAGGTGCCCCTATTAGTGATATGGAAATCATTAGATAAACAAATGCTTAGGCAGAGGAATTAGGACTGGATCATCTTTTTTTCTACCCTCATAGATATACCTATGTCTTGAATACATTGATAAGTCGAATTTATTACTTGGTCCCCAGCAATTCAACTCATCGGGATTTGACTGTATTTCAAAGAATAAAATAAGGAACTCTTTATGTGGTAATGTTGATATTATCAATCAATTAAATGTAATTTCAGCATCCTTTTACTGTCAAATTCATGGTGACGCTGGTACTCGGTCAAGCATGAGACAACAACTGACCTGTCCTGTCTGTCTGTTTTGGAGTATAGATAAGCACTGTTCGAGGCACAAGATTGTAGCTGATGATGTTGCTTTAAGTAGGAGTAATTCCTGAAACATGAAAATATTCACCATCATGAATAGAGCATGAAACAAACGTCCTTTTCCTATCTTATAATATAAACAAACATACAGGCAATGTTTGGAGGTTCTTACCTGGATGGGCTATGAGATCAAACTACAAAATTCTTCATATTCATAAAAATGTATCAGCCATGGAATCTTAAAGGATGAAAAAACCAAAACTAACCATTTAAACCGAAAATATATTCTGCAAAAGGAATATCAGAATAATGTAAGAGAAAATTCCTTTAACTTAGTAAGGTCCAGGATAAAGTTCAAGACATTCTGACACTTGTTTTTACTTTCAACATGAGTGTCGCTCAATGAAGTTTAGATCAATGTATGATCGGATCTGTGACCAATCAGGAATCATTTATTATATATGTTAATACCATCTTATCCATACACTAAGTGTTTTACAAAACAACCAACTGTAGAAATCAACTTAGTTCAATTCTCATAATGCGTGAGTATGTGCGCTAACTTTCACCACAATGTCCAAAGTTTTGCCTCTTTCTTAATGTACATAGATTCTGTGTGCCGATATATTATAAATAAATGCCAGATACAGAGGAATGCCTCACCTTGTCTATGCCGGTCAGAAACCCAGATGTGTACGGTAAACTCTGCAAAATCATCATCATCATCATCATCATCATCATCATCATCACCATCAAAGAATATTGAATAATTACTTCCTGCCAAAGTGATGCAGGTCTTGGACGGTTACTGTTAGTGAGTGAATGAGTTTAGTTTACTCAGCAGTATTCCAGCTATATGATAGTGGTCTGTAAATAATCGAGTCTGGACCAGACAAGTGATCAGCAGCATGAACATCGATCTAAACAATTGGGATACAATGACATGTATCAGTCAAGTCAACGAGCATAACCACACGATCCCGTTAGTCGCCTCTTCGGACAAGCATGGGTTGCTGAAGATCAATTCTAACCCAGTGATACCAAATGAAGGTACAAACCTCCACCAATCGTGGGTTGTGGGATGCAAACAAATACCAGTTTCTGGAATACGTCAGTGATGCAACTCTACACAGATTTAGATAACTATCAAACATAAGAGTGACCTGGGTTTTGATCAAAGGTGCCTGGCTCATCTAAGGGTCAAAGGTCTGAGCTGTTGAAATGCAGTTCATTAGACAATGGGGGGCACCTGTTAGGGCTGGGACGGGGACGGGTACTCGAATCCGGGTCGGGTACAGCTGGAATCGAGTCGTATTTTTTGGAATCAAGTACCCGGAAAGGGAAAGAACTCTGTAGTGACAAGGGCAGATAATAATTTGTCTTTTTCATAATTGTCTTTTCATTAGTACTCATTTACATCATTGGTATTGTCCGATTAATGAAGGTTATTACGGATGTAATTTATCTGAGCATGAGCAGTGAGTAGTGGAAGTTACAGTAACAGCGGGAACGAAAAGTTCTGTGTTTTAAGGATTAATGTAAGTAATGGTGTTACTCTTTATATTGGTTTAACAGACGTAAATTAAATAGCCTAAGATCTGTTTTAATGTCTTATTGCCATCCTTTCATGTTTTCTATAATAATCTCTGAATGAATATTCAGACAGTTGAAAGAAGCGCTTTCCTTACATTTCCGGGTACTCGATTCCGATTCGGGTAAGTACATGCGGATACTCGATTCCATTTTTTCCTACCCGTCCCAGCCCTAGCACCTGTTCAGTGAGTCATATATCGGATACATGGGTACAATGACTTTACTCACACTTATTTTGTTGGCTAGGTGCCTACTGTAATCGTCAGCCTCTGATATGTAATCCTTCACATCCTTGAATGAGTCGTTTTTAGCAGCCTGCACTAGCTTGTGTTGAGATCTGAAAATCAGGGGAGATAAAAACAAAATAAATCCACTTTCTGCACCTCCAAGAGAGCAATTTGAAAATACATTAAATGCAACATTATAAGATGTCATGCCCTAAGAATGGTCATTCCATATATTTGACAAAATAACTTCAATGCTAAAAAGCATCAGTAGTGATGGAAACATGATATAGTTCCTTCTGTTGGTTGTAGCTGCACTCAGCAATATTCCAGCCATCACAGCACCCTGTGACATATACATGTTAGCCTGATGATACACAATCAGCTATACTGCCTATCCCCACTACCCCAGTGAATATAGTGGTTTCCCAGCGGGCACACAACGTTGAATCAACGTTGAATCAACGTTGAATTTTGGTTGTTTGGTTGATCAACCTTTCATAAACGTTGATTCAACGTTTATCATGCGACCAAAGAAAGTTAGTCGAGATTCGTTTAGTTGTCAACGTTGTTTCAACGTAAGGAACCAACAAAATGTCAACTAATTGTTTCCTTGGCAAATTTGATACATATTCATATTGGTAATAGGTATCCAACTTAGCAACTATCATTTCGGAACATTATTTTCATAAAAGATCAAGATCGAGCTAGTGACAGATATAATCTTATATATTGTTTGATTGTACATCGATCAACGGACGGAAATATTACGTAAATCGCAGTGATTTTAGGTGTAAAGTCATCAGTTATCCAAATTGCATTACATTTGATATTTTCCCACAAAACTGTGAAAATTGTATAATTCCCGACAATTTGCTTTCAAACAAATGCCAGATGTTGACCGTTTGATCGCCTCGTTTGGCCATATCCGGACATGCGCACAATTATCGCGCGCGCAAAGGCAGCTGATCGTTGTCAGTTCACTTTGGCGAAGTTCAACGCAATATCGTTCTATTTTCACCATCTTCACGGCATGTTGGTGTTTATTTGGTAAGCCGCCTTGATGTTGCTGGAATATTGCTAAAAGCGGCGTAAAACCAAACTCAGTCAGTCAGTCAGTTTATTTGGTAAGTATGTCCTTCATGTATAATGAAAACGTAGGAATGTTGTTTAAATCTAGCAGGTCAAAGTAGCAAGAAAGTCCGAATTAGGGCTCATGTTTTATCTCACAAGGTTACCGGTATGTCACAGTACATGTTTCTCCATAAAAATCAACATCACCTCAAAGCCATATACATTATGAACGGTCCCTAAGGGCAGCTATACAAAATCGGATAGGATTAATCAACATTCTATAATGCATCACATTATTATGAACATTTGTTCGTTTGAATAGATCTATCAGTATATTATTTGGGGGGTTGGGGGTGGGGTGGAGAATGGCGTAAGGAAATGCAACGAAAATTTTCACATCAAAATGTCTTGTGAAAGTCTTTGTTAAGGTTGAAATTGTAGATAATTTATTTGAACTTTGTATTTATTTACAAAAAGTGTAACGTCACTAATGATCCTTTGATGGGACAATTAACAAAACTGCACCCACAGACTTTCATTCTTACACTTGTTTGGAAGGGATGTGATGATTCATGTTTCTTAAAGGTTAAAATGTTACATACAAAAGAAGAAATTTAGTAAGGAACATTTAATTCTGAAATAAAATATAATTTTAATGGAATTTGCAGAAATCTCATCTTGAAGACTGGGAGGCAGCAATTCTGTGGATCACATAAAAGGAGCAATGCTAAGGTAACAAGTTTTTAACATTTCACTTGTTTCCAGTATATCCACCGTAAAGTTCAAGAGAACGATGATAATGCTCTTTCATTACCACTTGTTTTGAATATTTGTGATAATGTTTGTTCTTTTTGGTGATAATAGTTGGTCTTTATCTTCATTTATATATTAAGGTTGATCATTTAAGAGAGAAAAATTTGACAATGATTTCTCGGAGATGTTTAGTTTAATGAGCACTCCCTTGCTTTCTCGCCATATTGTTTTTCGCCGTAAACAGCTGGATGCTGAGATAGCACGAGAGGACAGAGTCATACATTTATAGAGATACATAGATGTTTATTGCTGGGAGACACACTCTTCGGATATTTGGTCAGCTGTAGAATTTGAATATGATGTTTTTTATCATTGTCAAAGGGTAGGTTTTTCATTATTTGCAATCTAATATGTGTGCAGTGAAACATATTGAGTTTTGGAAGAGTCCATTATTTAAGGTACAGGTATTGTTAGATATCAGCATTTTATGTTAATGTTCCCTTGTTAAAATCATCTATCGAGTATATTAGAGAGAAGGTGTATATTTGTAGTGTTTTTAAATCAGAGTTATTTTCAGTGTGTGACCTACATTTCAATATGTTTTGGCAACCTGTCACCCTTTGGTCAAATGAGTAGGACTTCCATTTCTTGGAATTGAGAGTCAGAGATGCACTGTTTCCAAGAATTTATGTGCCAGCGATGTTTGTTTTGAGAGTACATTTAAGTCTGTTTGAGTGTAGATTGGAGTTGTAAGAGATGTTATTCAATGTCTTATTATTCAGGGTATGATAGATTATTTCTGGCAGTGTAGAGTTTAATCTCATTATTTTATTGTTCATGATTCAGAGAAGCGTAGTTATGACTGACTGACTGACTGAGTTTGGTTTTACGCTTTTAGCAATATTCCAGCAACATCACGGGCGGGGACACCAGAAATGGGCTTCACACATTGTACCCATGTGGGGATTCGAACCCGGTCTTCGGCGTGACGAGCCAACGCTTTAACCACTAGGCTACCCCACGCCCCTCAGAAGTTATGACGTCAAGAGATATTATCGCACACACATAATTCATTATATGAGAGATTTTCTAAAGCTCCTATAAGAGATTAAGTGTAAACATTTATGAATTATAAAGAAGTTATTTAGCTGAGTTTTATGAGTGTACAAATGACAAAGAGAGAGAGAGTAGATAATAGAGAATACATTTTACTTATGAGAGCTCATTATTGTTTTCAGAAATCCATGATCCATACTTCCTTGTGTTTGGGAACAAATGGTGTTTGGAGACCTCCCACAATAGACTTGTTCTTTGACCTGTGAACCACCACCCATTTTGTTTTCTTATCATTTAATGTAAAATGGCTTTTGTTACAATTTATGACTCCTGGTAGCAAAATTGCTACATCAGTACAACTCCTATTAATTTGAAATAATCATTTCCGAGAATCTCTAAAGAAAACTAAATCTGACAGAATAACAACAATCTTCCATTGTTTTGCAGGACAATGTCAAACAATTTGATGTCAAGAATGAATGTTGATGGGCAAAGCGGCAAGTTTTCTTTTAAGAATACAAGGTTGTATTCAATCATCTCTGGTAAGTTAATTACCAAGTGCAGCATTTTCATCATGACCATAGCAAATAATATATCACAGTAAAGCATCGTCTAATTCATCCGAATTCATAGTCTAATTGAATAATCAACTTGCAATTGAGGATTTTCTTTTGAAAATGTTTAAGAAAACTTCCATTCCTTTGGTTGAAAATATAAATTGTTTACACTTTTCGTCATATTTTTGTATTGATGTTGTTCATATGTTCACATGCCAAGTTACAGCAGTGAAATGAACCTTTAAAATGATTGATTAAACAAATACTTGAATCATTTAAGACAATATATCTTCCATATAACTTATTCATGTATTTAAATATAAAATTTCAGAATGTGTCCTATCTCATGGGAATGAGATAGGAATGCATCCGAAGCAGATTTCAAGAAAGAGTTAGGAACGTTTCTGAAGTATCCACCTGACTGCCAGGCAGGGAGTGGCAGAAAGAAGAGGAGCTGATAATTGTGTTTTGGAGTTGTAATTGTGTTTTTAAAAATGTAAACTGTGGTGTTGAAATTGGTGGCGAAATGTCAGGTTAATGTTATGCAGATGATATTGTGTTGTTAGCACAACAGAGATCACCTACAGATGTCATGTGTGATGATTTACATTATGCATTAGACCACGTTTCTCTGCAATGCGTGTGTGTTCATAAAGATTTCATGAAAAGTGACTTGTTTTATGTGCTGTCTTCAGGTGTTCCTGGTCATCTTGGATCCCTTTCATGGTGAAAGTAATTGCATTGTGTTTATTCAGGGTTTGTCTAATAACTGAAATTCAGACAAAATGTCTTCGGGACAATTTCCACCTTTTCAAGGTAACAATACAACAGTAAATAGTTTGTTTTAATTTGGAATACTCTTTTCTTCTTACTGGAATTATCGTCCAACTGACAAAAACTTAAATGAACATTATATTGAATGTGGAATTTTAACCAAGTATTTTATCAGGTAAATATTTTTACTACAATTTTCTGTTTGAACACTGTTTATTGCAGGTAGCTTTTGGGTATTTTAGCTGGATGCAGGAGTTTGGTGCTACTTTAGTGTAGTTTAAAGATGAAGTGCGAGTCTATTTACAGGAAAGCGTAATACCTCCCAGACACAACCACGGAACAACCCATTTTCAACGTTAATAATATGTCAAACTTCAACGTTGATTCCACGTCGGATATCTACGTCAAAAAAACTTTCATATACAACCACAGAACAACCAATTTTCAACGTTAATAATATGTCACACTTCAACGTTGATTCCACGTCAGATATCTACGTCTAAAAAACTTTCATATACAACCTTTTTTCAACGTTGATAATCGGTCAAACTTCAACGTTGATTCCACGTCGGATATCTACGTCTAAAAAACTTTCATATACAACCTATTTTCAATCTAGTTTCAACGTTGAGGATCAACCTATTCTCAACGTTGAAACAACGTTGATGTGCCTGCTGGGTTAGTATTCCCATTACAGATGAAGGGACTCAATGCCAACAGAGGTGAGGTGAAATTGGGTTTAACGTCGTGCTTGAGAATATTTCGCTCATATGAAGACGTGCATGCGTGTGTATGTGTATGTGCAGCTGCTTGTACAAGCCCAGACTGAAGCTGGTTTTATAGTGCTAGCCCACTGAGATACCATGCCGCAGTGAAGCATGAATAACCTACTCAAACACAGTATACTGACTCCAAGCCGACCAGTCCTTGTTGTACCCATTAATGCCGAGCGCCAGGCAGGGACCAACAAGTACCATATTTTAACGCCTTTTGGTATGACGCGGTCGGGGATAGAACCCGCGACCTTCCGCTCTCCGGGCGGACGCTCTAACCACTACACCACGGAGGCGGTCAATGCCAACAGAGGAGAATTTGGTGGATGAAAGAGCACACTTGGAATGAATGATTCCAAAGAATTGTAAAACATATATATTCTCCTTTGTGACTTTGTTTTGAATCAGCGTCTCATGCAGGGTGTATTGTCAGTGTCCACTTAGTGCCCTTCCTGACATTGCCCAATAAGTGCCCTACCTGACGGTCATTAACGTGGGCTGTCCATCCTCTGTCTCGACTGGCGACTTCTTATTGAGGGAGTTGTCGAGCCGTCGCACCAGGAGATTGTCTTTAGCTGGAGGCGCCACTATTGGCATCCCACCAGAGTCAAGTCTGGTCACAGGTGGAGCCTGCTGGAAGAACAAAAGTAAACTCATCCTGAACACATTCATGGAAGATGGGCTCCATAAAGCTATCTTAGTACTAAGACTCCCATTCACCATGACAGTCATAGCACTAGGACCGCCTTGTGGAAAACTGGATCTGGGCTCACAGCCTTCTTTACATTATGGGTGTCATAATATGTATAAGTATGGGAGTTGTGATGATTCAGGGATTTATGGGACGCGAATTCCTGCGTCATATACGCAGAAAAATTGACAATGGACGCAACAAAATTTATTAGAGCATCCACAGGGACACAGAAAAAGTCCAAATACTTTTTTTGTTCAAGTAAAAATAAGTTATCACTGAGTTTGCTACTAGCTGGGTTATGGTTTCATTTGCAATTTAATTACTGTAACAATTAATGTGATGATCATGGTACACAAAACAATAACATTATTAATAATAATATCTAAGTGTCTGGGGCACCCATTTTGTTGTACAGGACCCCTGAAAAATAAGAGCATGAGTCCCAGGGACCCTCAAATACAGAATTCAAGGTAAATCCCTGATGATCACATCTTAACACCAATAACAGTCCATAGTTCAATAATTGTGTTGTGGACATTGGTTCATATATATTGACTATTTTTTTAAACTCTGAAAATTAATATGAATAATAACTTTGAATGTTTATCATGTCTATAGATTATCAACACCATTCACATTGATCTATACTGTCATTACTGGTTTATTAAGAAAAATGATATATGTAATATAGGGTTTTATACACGAGTGCAAGCTTGTTACAAGGAAGCTGCAAGTATGCTCAAGTGACCATTAGCATCCAGACAAACTGACATTTGTGATGTTAATGCGACAGTAACGTCATTAATAAGTACCTTTTTGAGCGTATCATTAGTTGAATTATACAGAATGTAGAATTAAGTGTATATGATTAAATGCAGCACTGAACTATATTTCAGTTCTTAAGACAGCATCTTATGTAGATGTGAGTGAGTGAGTGAGTGAGTTTAGTTTTACGCCACACTCAGCAATATTCCAGCTATATGGCGGCAGTCTGTAAATAATCGAGTCTGGACCAGACAATCCAGTGATCAACAGCATGAGCATCAATCTGCGCAATTGGGAACCGATGACATGTGTCAACCAAGTCAGCGAGCCTGACCACCCGATCCCGTTAGTCGCCTCTTACGACAAGCTTAATCGCCTTTTATGGCAAGCATGGGTTGCTGAAGACTTATTCTACCCCCGGATCTTCACGGGTCTTATTTAGATGTGAGAGGAATATCTGTGTTGATGCATGTCCTATGTTTACAAGAACAAAGGTATGATGTTCTGTAATGTAAATAAAGTCCTTTTAGGCTAGTGCTTTAATGTCAATTATTACTCTATAAATTATTTTATCGGGAAACCTCCACCAAGATTCATTCTGGATTAACAGGATTTCACAAGCACATAATGTTCCTACTGGAATTTACAGCAACTGGTGAATCACCATTACTTATTTGCTAACTAAAGAAGCAAAATTCTGTTTACTGTTCCACTACATGTAATGATTAATCCTTTACTCAGTTTACAAACTCTTCATGTCTGTGTGATAAGAAGCCAAGCTGGGGAATCATTGACCAGTGGGTAGGAAAGCAGAGGCGGGAGGGATTTTATGTATGACTCCCCTCAATGGTTCCCTTGGTTGAACCAGAGAAAGGCCCAAAGTGACCCAGTTATATTAACCAGTGTGGTGAGAATAGATGCTGTTGGTGCTAAGAAACCTAGAAATATAGGGGAACTGGGACTCCAACCCATGTCACTGGTTCCTTGCACACCTAAGGGACACAACTCTGAATTGTGAATTGTGGTACCATAGACAAAGGCCAACCATTACCCAAGATGTCATCAAACGCTGACACCAAAATGTACAGACATGCAGACAACAATATAAGCTCATCTGAATGTTGATCAGGGAGCAAAGAATCTATATGGACAATGGCTCATGCGAGTGTACAGGATAACACAACTGCATAACACTTCCCAGTTGTCATACAACTTTGGTGTCCAAATATTGCTGTGACGGTTTTTGCCAGAGTTGATGCCACCACCCCACCAGCAGGAATATAGCATTGACTGAAATCATACTGCAGCCTTAGAAATTCAAGGTGTTTTTAAGATTACTCGGGTGACTAGCAGAAATCTCATTCACTAGTTATCAGGGTCCGTACCGCATCTTTCTTTAACAAAACTCATCATTACGTTCATTCTGTTTACATTTTCTGTCAGTTTTATTTGGTTCCAGTTTGTACAAAATCGAAGCAATGAGAACAGGTTCTGAAAGTGATACCCTAAAATCTCACAAGTCAGTGAGGACTACTATCACTGGATTTTCACTTGACCTCAGCCCAATCTAGTAGTCATGGGCTAGTGGACTAGCATGAATTTTGAAGGCTGCCCTGACAAGCAGGCCCAAGCTCCCCAACACGCTGTGATCGGGACATGTGTACCATTAGTCTTGCTGTACAAGGTTATCATGTTCTGGGTTATCATGTACCAGGTTATCAGGTAATGGGTTATCATGCTGAAACACTCATTGAAGGCTTACCCGGAACTTGTACTGGAAGCAGTACCATCAATTAATTACATTTCCTTTATACTTCTCAAACAAAGGAACATCAGTTGCTATGACTACCAGATCAAGGGCATTAATACCTTATCTGTAAGATCTTTCAAATCAGATCTTTAACTCCCATACAGTGTCTCCCTGTGTGAAGATCTGAGGTCACATCCATTGAAGATCAGGTGAATTGTATCAGCCATTCAGCACTGGGGAGGGCAATTCCCAGTATGAGTGACCAAAGCATTCAGACTATCATATCTGATTTCTGCTTCTCCAAAACAATATTATAAAGGGCTTGGGAACGTGAAAATTTATAATAGTGATATCATAATGGAAGGGAGTATTAGTCCCTTTTAAGTGTCTTGGTTTCTGACCAAAATGGTAAACGGAGGAAGTCTGTGCCCAGTGAAAGTTTCATATACATGTATCAAGATAAATTTCTTAATCGTGCTGGTAAAGATATGTTAAATAGCTACAATATTGAACAAACTTTATGAATAACAAATTCTTTTATTTCATGAGTGTGACGTTTCAATACAGATTCTTGTACCATTGTCAAACAAAAAGAAAAGAAAATGTAATTCATGAAGTTTGTTCAATATTGTACATCCCAACTTCTAAACTGCCACTCAAAGTGGTAATGTTAAATAGCTGATATCCTAATGGCTCAAGAACCAACACAGTTAGATCTGAACTATCACAGTTTCCTCAGGATTCACCAGACATGGCCTTGTAATGGAGGTGTCCTCAGATCGCCCTGCAGGGATGCACTGTATAACATGAGATCTGACCAAGAGACTGTAATTACATGTATACCTGACACTCCACAAAACACCAATAAAATCAAGAGATGAAAAGGGACGGAAGGGAAAGTGCAACAAAAGCTGAGATATGTGCTCCAACAGAAAACCCAAAATAAACATGGAAGACACAACATTTAAGTCTATAGATCACAAAAATAAACTTATTTCAACATGGGCAAACAGTGAATAGTTGAATATTTTCTAACAACATATCTAACTGCATCAAACCGATAAATTTGATTTCAAAACTTAAATGAATATAACTTTAATCTAACAAAATGAAAACTTTAACCACCACTAACCATATCAACAAGAAATGATAATGAATATTTGAAAATTTACAAAAGGCTAATTAACATAATTCTAAATGAAAATCCAGCCCATTTCTATACAAACCTGGAGACCAGGAATTTTTTTCTTTTTCTGAAATTGAACACATAGTCGCAGCATGTTCAATACGGCCATAATATTTCAACTTCGAAGGTGTGTTACTAAGTCAACAATGATAATAAGCCTGAGAATGTAAACAATATCAATTATGATAGTGTAAAAATTCCTTATAAAAGACTAAGTGTCACCTTTTAGGGGTTCAAAAATCCCATCGCCCGACGCCCGGGACAAGTCAGTTTTCATTTCGGGCAATCAAATAATGGTATCTTAATTGTCCGTGGGCTACTAGATAATTTCCACTTATGGTTTCAAACTGCAAATAAACTTTGATTTAATTTCATATCTGCTCAAAATGTAGCTATTAAATTTCGCAATGATGATAAAGTAGAGTTATCTTTCTTTGCTGTTTATCACTTTTCAATAAATAGTCCAGTAAACATTAACATCAAATACCATGTTGATTTCTTCTTTCATAATTACATCATCATAATTATGTCATAAAATCAGGGCAAATGGAAAATTAGTCAGGACAAGTTACTTTCTTAAAGTCACTTGCCCTGTGGCAAGTGGCTTTTTAATTTTTTTTTGAACCCCTGCCTTTGAACCTGATTATGGCTCAACTGGACATAGACTTTTAAGCATTTGAAATAAAAGTGCAGTGACAATTAGACCATGGCCAAATACTGTCTGTGACATGGTACAAACAATTATTGCACCTGTCATCCTGACAGCCATTGTATACACACAATAGTGTGCATTACCACAGGAATATTTGTGTTATATGTTCGTATATTTTGGATAAGAAATTTCTAAATGAAGAAGGCAAAGAAATAAAGCCAAATGACTTAGGAAAGCGGATATCTGTAGGCTCAAGGACCCAAGCATCATTCTATATACTGGACATTCAAAGTCCAGTCGAGGGTCATCATCTTGAAACAGATCGGTGTTAAACTGATTCATCCCTTCGTAACCATGGTTATGGTAATAGGAATTTTCCAAAACAACCCCCATCACATTTCCAAAAGTCCATCAAATACTGCATTTTCATGAACAAAACACAGTGACATTCATGGCCTGTTCTGGTGACCGAGCCGGTCAGGGACTCCACACAGCCGGGAACTGACCATGTGATATCTGAAGTATCTACCCGAGCAGTCAGGTGACAGGTGCTATGTGCGGAGCAGTTCACAGTGACACGTCGAGAAGGTGATCAGTCACGTTACAACATCATGAAGGAGTTAAACACACAGAGAGCAGATGCTGCTTCAATGTTTCCATGTTTCGTGTATTAGAGTCATCTACTAACCGCAGCTCAACTGAGTATACCTCACAGTAAAATAAATGTCAACAAAATACTCCACTTTACCCAGTTACTGCAGCATTGATATTCAAATACTGTCTGCATTAATATTAAAAACAAAGAAGTTTACAGAATTATATAGGCATTTTGAGAAAATTCAATAGCATGGTCAAATCATGAAGGGAAAATCAATGCCATAAATAATTAATAGCAGAAACAGAACATATGGGATAAATGTAACAAATGTCTTCAAATTTTGAGAAAAATAAGAATGAGTAAAGCCCATGAATAATTTAACAATATGGCTGTTGTGACAGAAACAAGATTCAAAGTTCTTGAACAAATTCAGATATCATTATTGGTGTGACTTTCTAGACTGCCTGGTATGACCGTCCAGTGTGACTGTCTAGACTGCCTGGTATGACCGTCCAGTGTGACTGTCTAGACTGCCTGGTATGACCGTCCAGTGTGACTGTCTAGACTGCCCGGTTTGACTGTCTATACTGTCCGGTGTGAGTGTCTAGACTGCCTGGTATGACCGTCCAGTGTGACTGTCTACACTGCCCGGTGTGACTGTCTAGACTGCCTGGTATGACCGTCCAGTGTGACTGTCTAGACTGCCTGGTATGACCGTCCAGTGTGACTGTCTAAACTGCCTGGTATGACCGTCCAGTGTGACTGTCTAGACTGCCTGGTATGACCGTCCAGTGTGACTGTCTAGACTGCCTGGTATGACCGTCCAGTGTGACTGTCTAGACTGCCTGGTATGACCGTCCAGTGTGACTGTCTAGACTGCCCGGTGTGACTGTCTAGACTGCCTGGTATGACCGTCCAGTGTGACTGTCTAGACTGCCTGGTATGACCGTCCAGTGTGACTGTCTAGACTGCCTGGTATGACCGTCCAGTGTGACTGTCTACACTGCCCGGTGTGACTGGTTTACCTGTGCTATGGTGGCTGTATGGTATTCAGCAGTGACCCGGAGTCGGTCCACCCAGTGTTGTCTCCCCCTGGGGTCAAGGGCTGTAAAGAAAGGACAGGATTACACACAACATTGTCTTACTGCACACAGAATTTACTGGGCTTCAATTGCCCAAAGTGCATCTTGTTTACACACACAACTGTCAACAATGTGTGACCATGAGATTGTTCCATCTTCAAAACCAACTAAATGCTGAATGTGCACAACACACAAATTATTTCCATACAGAAATGCTTTTGTTATCTGAAATTTGATTGATCTGCTGAACCTTTGAGTTGACTATGGGTACAGGTACACTATAAGTTGTACGCTTCTCTTGAGGGTAATACGGTCTGATGTACGCCTCTTTGTAGCAGTGTCACCCAAGCCGGTAGGCTGGTAGGCGAGGGATGACACTGCTACAAAGAGGCGTACATCAGACCGTATTACCCGAGGGAGAAGCATACAACGTATTTATCTTAGTGCCATGTTAAATGTACAAAATATCATTTTATTTTATGTTAAAGATCGCTACCGACTATATGACATGCAAACAAAATGACGTCTGCCTCTCGACTGGATTTTTAACATCAGTGAAACATGTATAAAATAGCGTAACTAAAGCAGTGAAAGTCGGTAAAATAAATCTGTACAAAGTGAACACAAAAACAGCTGATCGAACGGTTTTCGAACTCCGAACTCATATTATGACGTCATACGATTGTCAGCGCTTCAGCTTCTCAGGGGAAAGCTTCTCGGTTACCGTGGCAGCGGGTAATATTTTTTCCAGTTGTCTGAGGGTGACACGGAAACTTGTTAAACCGTCATTGACCAATGAAATTAAAGTATTTTACATGAAGGTAAGATAAAGGCTGGTATGCTGGTCATAACAGGTGGCAAATTAGATTGGGCGGTTAGCTCAGTCACCTGCTGGACTGTGTCATCTTACCCACAGAACATGGACCACCGACCAAAACATTGATCACTGGATTGTCTGGTTCTAACTTGATTATTTACAAGTCGATGTAATACAGCCACTATATTAAAATACTAAGCATGTCTTCGAACAAACACTAGTATATATAAAGAATGGCTAGGTATTTTTCACGCCACTTTGATCGGGTCACAGTTATATGAAGGTTTGTCAGGTTGATGTGGAAGGATCATCATCATAATCATCATGATGTCCTACCTCTCAGTCGAAATATTTCCCCATTAGCAGCGTTCACTGTAAACGTCTGTCCATCTTCATCTGATGGGGATATGACCGCAGCCTGGAACATGTGACACTCAACATCACACACACAGTCATCACACTGCAGTACTGTATTGACCATTTATTTAAAAAAAAACATTGGAAAATATGTACTTAAAACAAACAGGGTCATTTAGTTTTTTAAACATGTCTGACACAACATAATACATTAACAATTCTGTCAAACTAACCCCCAATATAAGTGTAGTATACTCATAAAAGTAATCAGCCAATAACCATGGAAACATACCGCAAGATGAACGGACCCCCTCGGCCTTTGTTTTTTCTGCTCTTCCTTCTACAAAAAAAGAAAAAAAGGAAACCTTTTCAAGACAATCTTCAGGAAGATGCTATTCAGAATCATTTCAACAAAAAGTCTGTAAAAATATTTCTGTCAACAAAGCTGGAACAAATTCATTGAGTAGACTTGACACAGTCTAAGTAAACTTAGGCTCATTATTATTCGTTACACTGCTATACTGAGCCTAACAAAACCTAGCAGAAGGTCGTGTCAGCTAACCTTTTGGACTGACCAATCAGAACACAGCTTACCTAATCGCGAAAGTTAACATTCGCACATACCGTTCGAACCTTTACCTAAAAACTCGAACAATTCCGAATGCTATTTTCCGCATGATCGCTTCCGAGTCATACACGCAATGAGTAAACAGTCACTGAAAATAGCGTTTTTGTCAATATTAATGGATGTGACATCTTGCGAAAATATAAGCAAATAGTAACCATGTCATTAGAAACCCATAAGCGTATATACTGCAGGTCAAATTCTGTGTTTTATATGCAGTTTTTCGTTTGTTGATAGATCAGTGTCAGCGACCAGGCAAGAGAAAATCCAAAAAACGTTTTGTAAGTCCCGCCGAACCCTAACAAGTAGTCATTGTCTGATTGGTTAAATCCGTTCGTCCATCTCGCATTTGATTGGACGGTCATAGGTCGCTCAAAGGTTAGCAGATGCGACCTTCTACTAGGTTTTGTTAGACTCAGTATAGCAGTGTAATGAATAATACTGAGCCTAAGTTTACTTAGACTGAGACTTGACACATTTTGCTAGATTATGTTGATCAGGGTTAGCATGTTGTCAGTGAGAACTTGCCTCGAAGTACTCCAGCATCCCCGACTCAGGCTCCAGGACGAAGTACCGAGGCTGCCAGCCTTTCATCACATTTGTATACTTTAGCAGCTGACCTTCATGAGGCTTCCTAGAGGGGTGGGCGCTGAAACAAGAATACACATCATCATGAATAATAGAAATATCAAAACATAATCTCCTTATTTAGGCCCCTTGAACACTTTCAAAAATCATCTGTAGACTAATCTTGACATGGCTTGATTTAGATATAAAGAACATGCACTAATGCAAAATGTTATTAAAACATGCACCATGATATTTATGTCAGCTATTGGCGGTGGGCTGGCCTAGTTGTTAAAGCGTCCATTCATCACACCGAAGACCCAGGTTCGATTCCCCACAGGGGCACAATGTGTGAAGCCCATTTCTAGTGTTCCCTGCTGTGATATTGCTGCAATTTGGAATATTGCTAAAAGCGGCGTAAAACTAAACTCACTCATCTTCTCAAACAGTTTGTAATTCAAGAAATCATCAAGCAAATGATGTACACAAAATCAGTGTGAATACAGTAATTCACACATAAGCATTTTGGTTTTATATTTCCAAGATGATTCGCTAACAGATCAATGGTGCCAACAGTACTTCATCAGGCGACAAAGTACACGTTTTTTTGCATTATGTCACACAGTATTGACGTCACTACGCCATTCTCATTTGCCCCCTTGTAATCAAAAGTACCCTTGGTAACCGATGCCTTGATGCATGTCAGTTGTCATCGACTCGTAAAGTATCCTCAAGCAAACTACTCTGTCAAAAGCTCGATTCACAATCAAACAGTGACACAGCAATGTTTACATTCCCACAATGCAGTTGTGGTATGTCGCACGACTAGTCAACTTCATCACCAGTTACTGTTCAAACCTTACATTAGTAGTAGAAGTGTGACGTTCACATTTCCCAATGTGGATTATGATTATCACACTCACAGACGTAAGTAAAACAATATAGAGAAGATATTTAATGCGAACATAAACCGTCTTCAAACTGTTTATTATTTGTTTTCATGGCAACGTGCGTCTTAACGGATGGGGGCAGACACGTCACTGGAAAAGCCTGTCAGTTCGCCCTGAATGAGGATTGCCAATTTAGGTCACCGACACCGTCGCTTTTCTGTTTGTTTTCTGCCTAGATTAATTCCTGTGTGTATTTAATTTGGCATCTTACAAAAGAAATACAGTTTGCTCTACCCCCATGTATAGTGTAATATTTAATAAAGTACCTTTTGCCCTAAACTATTCTAACGTTTAAGCCACCGGACGCAAGCTTTAACTGTAATAGTTCAGGGCAAAAGTGTACCTTATTACACTATACATGGGGGCAGAGCAAACTGTATTTCTTAAATAAATAGACTTAAAAAAAATATGTTTTGAGTCCGGGTATGATTCAAGGTTCTTTGAACTCATTTTAAGGCCTTTTCAACATGACCCATGAAGATCCGGGTTAGAATTGTTCTTCAACAATCCATGCTTTTTGAAAGATGCAACTAACGGGATCGGGTGGTCAGGCACTCTGATTTGGTTGACACGCATCATCGTATACCAATTGCGTAGATTGATGTTCATGATGTTGATCACTGGATTGTCTGGTCCTGACTCGGTTATTTACAGACTGCTGCCGTATAGCTGGAATACTGCTGAGTGCGGCGTTAAACAATAGACAAACAAACCTTTTCAACATATTCAAGCCAAATGCTGAATAAAGGCCTTTTCAAGAAAAACTCTGAAATTCAAGGCTGTTTCAAGTTATGTGTGAACCCTGCTATATTTAAGAAATTAAAAAAGGCAGAACTTACCTGACATTTACCTTATCTTCTTTCCGCTCGAATTCCTGGCAACAAATAGATGGTTTTTTTAAAACAGTTACTAAGTTAACTTCAATTACATGACAGAACAATAATGATAGAATCATCATGCCAGTCACTGAAAAATATACGTGATTTATTGATGTTTCAGTACTCAACACGCAGTGTGTGTATCAAGAAGTAGAAAAGATTGTAGTCACTAAAAACAGAAAGAGCTTTAGTATTTCAGTCATTGTTGAGTTTGTTGTAACAATTGAATTTACTTTTTGTAACTGAAACAGACACCAGTTTACTCGTCAGTCTTTCCAGACATGCCAAAGGGCTAGCAACAATTTCAGTTCCCTTGCTCTTTAACATTTTTAATGTGAAGGTGAAGTTTCACTCCTGTAATGTAACCTTTGAATCTATGTGTGGAAATAAACAGACAGAACTTAGTGTCAATACTGCAATATCCAAAGGCTTGATCACATTCATAAAATAATTCTTTGAAGCTAACTTGTTTAGCCAGCTATAGACACATTTTTTGACACAGGAAGATGTGTAGATTAAGTGAGTGAGTGAGTATGGTTTTACGCCGCTTTTAGCAATATTCCAGCAATATCACGCCAGGGGACACCAGAAATGGGCTTCACACATTGTACCCATGTGGGGAATCGAACCCTGGTCTTTGGCGTGATGAGCGAACGCCTTAACCACTAGGCTACCCCACCGCCCCGTGTAGATTAAGATTTGTTAAGTACTTGCACTTTAATTGCACTTTTATCTTAAAATGCTGAAGATGAATTAGGAGTTTATAGATGAGTAAGTTACACTGAGTAAAGAATCTGATGAGCAAATATTGAAAGTAATATTCACCATATTATGAATAGACTATTTTCACGTGTAAAATGATTTTTGGTAACAGCAGAGCAGTCAAGGAACAGTGTGACGGATGTCGGGATGGATGTCTACTGCTGGCAGTGAGTACCAGTTTACACTCAAAGGGATGCTGACAAATCTAAACAAACAGTGTCTAGCGTCCAACTTAGCTATATACCGATCCAACTTCAAATGCTATTTCTAGGTCATTTATTGGTGATATAAACAGCTGGTAGATAACAAAGGCAAATGCCTTTATGAGACTGTTCGCCACATCTAAGCCCTAACAAAATCGTTAATTTTTCTATGGCTTGGAGAAAAGAATACACGGTGAGAAACTTTACAGTGCATCATTGAGAGAGACCAGTATCAGTAAAGTAAACATTGAGATGTATCCGACAGTAGCCAAAATATACACAAATATTGTTGTTGTTAACTTGTATCCAGTGTCAAGATGGTAGCATTGACATATTAATCAATATCAATGCGATAATAATAAAAATAGCGATGTGTCAGTCACGAGATTGTGAGACAAACTTAAATTTTAGAGCTGTCAAAATCACTTCGTAACACTAATCTTATACATCAATTGCATCCGAAGGGTAAACATGTCCTCCGGGGGATCCTCCCACCTGTGCTCGCTCCATGACTGCGATGACCTGGGCCCGCTCGGCCTCGGATAGCCCTGATAGGTCAGGAAGTTGGCCAAAGGTCGCCGAGGTTTTCGTGGGGGCGGCCATGTTTTACTGTTCTGGCAACGCTTCCGGTTATCAGCGCCACCTGGGACAAGGGGCGTTACTGGTGATTTACGTGGTTATTTTAAAGCAGTAGCACATACTTTGTCGCCGGATGTTTTTGAACAGCTGATTAGATCTGTAATTTGTACCTCTTACTAAGGAGGGATGCCAACAATAAATCGTGATTACTATATATGGCAATTATACATGATTGAAAGGAATAAGTCCAGTCGAACACAAATGCATGTACATGCACGCACGCACACATTTGAAACTCGATTCAACCGGAAATCCGCACGTGCCCTTGGGTTTCACTTAAGTCATAAATGCAGGAGACCAGACAAGTGCGCATGCCGTAAAATATCACGACATAAATTTTAGGGGGGTCACTCATATTGTACACTCTTCTCCATAAAAATCACCAAGTCAAGTTTATTACGTATTTTAGGCCACACGGCCCATAGTACAATTGTATTGTAAGGTATACAGTCGTTGTCACATGACCAACATTATATTATGAAGATCTTAAGCTAAATATTTTTAGCAAATATATTAGATGTTAAACGTAATATATTTTCATCAGGTGTGTTTAATATTTGTTGCAATGTTAATCTAGTTTTACAATATTTTTTTATGGACAATAAGTATTCATTACGGTGCAGAAAATATCTATTACAGATAAAGAAAACATTGAAACAACATTGAAAGTTTTGTGAAAACCCTTAAGGACACTATATCTATTGAAAAGCATATCTCCAAGTACACCAACAGTATCCAAAAATTTAAAGTAAATGGCCGAAAGAACTGCAACAATAAATTGCTATGTCTATTGTGAAAATGAACCTACCCCTAATGTCATGAAACAGGGGTCATATCACAGTGCAAACAAATAGATTCTATATCAGAATTATCATTGACTTTCTTTTTACGTTGTTGATTAACCCTGAAATCATGCACGAGATATACGAAATTCACACATCGATCTAACTAAGTTTCTATTATCAAGTTTATGGATCATGTTTCGCATTCGAATAAGTTCTTTATACTAGAATAGTGTGGCAAATATGATGATGATTCAATACTTTGCTGCCAGGATTGAATGTACATATCAATAAAACGTCTTCTGAATGTAGATATGAAAATAGTGGCATCACCGACATCTTGCATAATCCATGCATAACTAAAACCGCTTGTAAATAACATCTCACGAACGTGAGAAACCCAGTTAATTTTACCATGTTCGTCATGTAATTTAAGCATTTCATAACAATGTAAAGGATGACGTGAAACATTCATTCTTAATAACTTAATCCAATATTTTATAACTTTTCTCTGTGTTTTTATGAATAAACAGTATCGTCCGGTTTCTCCAAGAATAGCTTTGTTTGCGGCATGTTTACACACCCCCAGAAATCTTTTGAGGAAACTTGTTTGTACTTTTTCTATAACTTCGTGGTATTTTACCCCCCAGATTTCTGACCCATATGTGAGAATAGGAGATATTTCGGAATCAAATATTTTACAGGCAGTTTGAAAATCAATATGTCTATTATTATTCAACAAAATTAACACTGGTTCCATTGCTTTACGTGCTTGCACAGCCAAAGTTTCACAGGTTTTTGTCCATATCAATCTTGAGGAAAACACAATACCCAAGTACTTGTAATAAGTTACAGTTTCAAGATTTATGTTATTATAAGTCCATTTTTCATGCTTGGAAAGTATACCTCCATTTCTGAAAACAATGATTTTAGATTTGTCTATGTTTACACTCAGTCCCCATTTCGATCAATACTCAAATGGCTAGGGGGGAGATGATGATGTTTATATTTTATATACATGACAATCATCATCACCCCCTAGCCATAAATTATGAACGGTCCCTTATCATGACTTATTTAGCTTCAGTTCACACTTAGACCTGTCTATGTTTTCCTGGATTCGAGGTTGTGATTCTTTGTTTAAACTTTAATGGAATGTGACGTACAAATCGAACGTAGTTGTATCTGTGTTGCCATTGTCAAGTGTCCTTCAATTCAGATATTAATCTGCGTCAAGTCGCATCTGTCAGTAGCCTACGACACAACAAATTATTTGTTCTTGGTTTTTTTATTGTTTAACATCAAGGGATGCTGCACCAAGAAATATTCTTATGACGGCGGTCTGTAAATACTCGAGTCTGGACTGACAATCAAGTAATTAACATCTTGAACATCGATCTAGACCACAAGCTTGGGTTGCTGAAGACCAATTTTAAACCGAATCTTCACGAGTTCAACAATGTATAGTGTTGATGCAAGCAGCGTCAGATCCACGAAAAGGTGGTATGATAAGATTCGCACTAGCACTCCCCTCCCCTCTCCGCTCCATCCTTATCCCGGGCAGTGGGGTAGCCTAGTGGTTAAAGCGTTGGCTCGTCACGCCGAAGACCCGGGTTCGAATCCCCACATTGGTACAATGTGTGAAGCCCATTTCTGGTGTCCCCCGCCCTGATGTTGCTGGAATATTGCTAAAAGCGGCGTAAAACCAAACTCAGTCAGTCAGTCAGTCAGTCCATCCTTATCCCAGTGAGAACAAGACTGCACCTTCCCCAACCTGATAGTTAAAACGGCGATTCCAGTTTCATTTAGTGGAACGATGGGTGCCTTTTTCTGATATCACAGGAGTATAATACTGTTTCGAACCCACGAACAGGCCAGCGTTTCAGAGCCGTACATGTTAGGATTCTATGAGTGGCGAGTGTTAAGTCCGCTGCGCCAGAGTGAACATGGCACGTAAAATGTATATTTTACGTAAGCTTCAATATACGTTTGGCTGTGTCCTCACAGGATTGGTTTGGTTGTTGTTTAACGCACTCAGCAATATTCCAGCTATATGGCGGCGGTATGTAAATAATCGAGTCTGGACCAGGCAATCCAGTGATCAGCATCATGAACATCAACCTACGCCATTGGGATACGATGACGCGTGTCAACCAAATCAGCGTGCCTAACCGCCGGATCCCGTTAGTGGCCTCTTACACCAATCACGGGTTGCTGGGTCCCGTTTCACATCGTACGTACCGCTATGACTGTCGTAAGTCTATGTTAAAGAATGGGAGTTACGATCACCTTAGCGCTACGATCGCTTTGTGAAATGTGGCCCTGGACACCAATTCTAACCCGGATCTTCACGGGTTCCGAGTATCAAGGTACGTATTGCTTCATTCAGGTACAACGTCTACATATGGAAGGCCGTTACCGAGTCTTCAGATGTTTTTCCATGTTGGTAACGGTAGTACGTAATTTCAAAATCGTTCTACGATGTCTCATTAAATCTATGTCTGGCTCATTAGCTTGATGTAAGCCATCATATCCTAATTGTGTAAAGTAATGCGTATGACGTCAGTCACTGGATTATCTGGTCCAGATTCGTTCATTTACAAACCCTCGTCAGGGTATTGCTGATTTGGACTTGTCATTTCAACGTACACCTGAGCACCAGAGCACCAGAACACCAGATCTTGCTACTGAGGTAGGTTCAGTCCAACCCAGATCGTCTGAGAACAGGCAGACCAAGCATCAAAACCTCGACACATGATCGCGATCGTTACATCCGGATCTTTCAATTCCGTCATCGTCATTCTACTTCTACTGAGATTTGACGAGGACTTGGTTTGAGAAAGGTAATGAACCAAACAATCTGGAATTGTCCTCGCGAGGTGCGACACAGCCCCATATCTGGTATTTGTTCATGTGCTGACACTTGTGCGTGGGCGACAGCGTCTGCGGTTGAGCATGGACTATGAGAAACTGTCTGCGAGTCTGGTTCAGTGATAAAACACGTCAAAATATACGTTTTGCACCAACCTGCGTCCCTGACAGGGAGTGAGTGAGTGAGTGAGTGAGTGAGTAGGGGTAGCCTTGTGGTTAAAGCGTCCGCTCGTCACGCGGAAGACCCGAGTTCGATTCCCCACATGGGTACAATGTGTGAAGCCCATTTCTGGTGTCCCCTGCCGTGATATTGTTGGAATATTGCTAAATGCGGTGTAAAATCAAACTTAGTCAGTTAGTCCTCTTGCTGAATCAACACGGATATGTTGCAGGAAAAGCATCTATTATTGTCTCGAAGGGTAGATATTATCAGTTTATCTGATAGGGAACGTTTCTGTACGGAACTAGATATGATTGTTAGCCATCAAACGTGAAATATATTTCAACATGAGCTGCAATCAAAGGATACTGATAAGATTTCACAGAACCATCAAGGAATATATCGAATGTGTAAATACCATATTTCGATGTAGAACATGTCTTGGGTTTAAAATGCATTATGACATAGATGCAATAAGCTCTGATAATTTCCACAGAATGCATGTTTACCGAATTTAATAAACGCGCAGTCATGGAAAGTGTGCGCTTATTACCTTAGCGAAGTACTGCCGTGAGTGAAATCATGGGAAATACCTGTCTGGAGTGATAATAGATTAACTAATAAAGTAGCTTCGTCAGTTGAGTATCTAACGGGTATAAATCTACCTGCTCCAAGTTGAAGTTTCTTATCATGAGTTAATTAGGAGATAAACATAGTGTGTTTGAAAATCAGATTTACCTGGCGGTGGGGTGGCCTAGTGGTTAAAGCGTTCGCCCCTCAATATCTTGAAGCTGCATATGGAAGCATGAACAAAGTTACAGTGAAGAGAAACACTCTTTTATAGACAGATAAGTTCTTATTTGCAATAGATGCTAAAGCTAACAAGTCATTACTTGCTTGACAACGGAGTTAGCATCTGTAGCATCAATGAAGATCATATCAGCTTGTAAATGTCACTTACAGAAGTTAAAAGTTACAATGTACATGGAATCATCTTAAAATAGATATATACATATATGTAAACTATATTATATACATATTACGTATGTATGTGCGTATGTGCGTGCGTGCGTGCATGTGTGCGTGCTTGTGTGTGCATCATTTAGAGCAGTTGTGACCGTGAAGTCCTGCGTGTTCGGGTATTGGATTCTGACAATATGGCTA